AGGGAGGAAGGAAGGAAGAAAGAAAGAAAGAAAGAAAGAAAGAAAGAAAGAGAGAGAGAGAGAGAGAAATTAAGGAATATACTAGACAGACCTCCCACACTTGTGCATTGTTTGATATTGTGGAGTGACTATGTCACCAGAAGCCATTTATAGATTGTGTGTAATCTCAGTCAATATCCTCATGCTACTTTTTCAAAGAAGTAATAAAAAACCACCAATTTATATAGTCTTTTTCTTTTTATAAGTTAGGGGAAGTTCCACATCCCTAGGGCACAGAAGGAGCAGAGAGAAGAGACTTCCCAGCCCTTATGAAAAATGGGAAGCTGTTCTTTGGAGGCTTCTCACCCCCAGCTGCAGGAATACTTGGGTGAGACCCTGCTCCCTCAGCGAGTTCAAGCTACTGTCACGAGGGCTGTAAAGGGACACTCGGGCCTAAGTTCTCATATCTATAGCCAGACTTCACGAGTATTTTTAGGGCCCCCTTTGTCTCAATCTTATTTCTGCTTGAGACTTTTACCACATGTAGCCTGTGTTGAAATGACTTTAAACCTACTCACCCAGCGGTGGGGGAGGGGTTAGATCAGAGCTACAGCCTTTAAATAGAGGGTTTTTCCTTCTTTTTAATTTTTTTTTTTAATTGCTAAATATCCAACAGGCTGAATGGAGGAAATTCAAGTCTAACCCTGGAGGGGCCCAGTTTAGTCATCTGTCTAGACAGATGGGTGTCTGTAATGGGGCTCCTGTTCCTTTTGCTTTGTGGAACAGAAGGTGGTCCTTCCAGTTCAGCTAGGAAGATGCTAATGTTTTGTTTTGTTGATTGACCACCCCCCTCCCCCCCCCCAAGCTGCTGTCAATAAGCTAAGAAGGGGACTCAACCTCTGGCCAACAATTGTTTTGCATGTGACAATTAAGTTATGAACTAGTGGCAAGAAATACAGGCTTTTCATGAAGAGACCAGGTTAAAATCCAGCAAGCCTGTTCTCCTTTCAGAACCTCACTTTCTTTTCTTTAAAAGGGGGATTTTTTTAAACTTCACTTTTTAATGAATTTTAAAGAAGAGAGTGATCTGACTCACAATGCTTTGTCCCTCCTAGGGGCTGGGCAAATTACCCTTTTTTCATTCATTTCCCGGCTACTGTTGAAGCCAGTAATTTTCCTGCTTTTCTGCTGTGAGAATTCAGTTGAAAAAAGTAGGAGGACCACACGGTTGCCACACACACTGAGAGGCGTGAGCAATGCCACCTCAAGGTAGAGAAGAGCTAAGAGAGGGCCACGTTTCCAGGAGAGTAAAAGAATGTTACAGACACTGTTTAGAAATACAAGGTATCTAAAGACGGTCAGATTCAGAAATTTCAAAAGACATGGCAGCTACCAGGGGTGGTTGGTGGAGGGCATCTGAGCATGGGGATTTTAGACTTCCAGTTAGGCTGAAAGAGTGAGCTCTTGAACTCTACCATACAACAACGTTGAAGCTACTCAGCGATAGGACCACGTTCAGTTAAAGGTGTGCCAGTAGAGAGGATATGAGGTGAGATGTTCTTCCCATCTCCCACCTTCCTTAGAAAAACTGGTCAAAGCCCTGGGTAAGGTGGAGGGGTAGTCCTTGGGAGGGCAGGAAACTTTGAGCTTGCCTGAAAGGACAGTGTGTTAGCAAGGTTTTCTCAAAATAGATACCTAGTGTTTTTAAATTGTGTGCGTGTGTGCATGTGTGTGGCGTTTAATTAGTGTGTGTGTGCTCTTTACATGTGTACAGAGGCCAGAGGAGGACATTGGGTGTTTTGTTCTTCATCTACTTCCTTCTTCCCTTGAGATAGAATCTTTCACTAAGGCTGAAGCTACTGGCTACCTACCTTCCTAGCTCCACTTCCCTGTGGAGGTTACAGGGGTTACATGTCTGTGCAGTCACACCACACCCAGCTTTTTTACAAAGGTGCTAGGAATTGAACTGAGGTCCTGATGCTTGCAAACAATGGTTCTCACTTCCCAGAGCCACCTCCCCCACTCCATCCCTGCCCCTGAGTGGAGAGAAAATTAACTATCTCACTCCTTTACCCTCTCATTTTAAGTTCTGCAGTGGATTGTCCCTGAAAGTCACCACCTGGGACATTTTATATTACATATTCAGTTCATTTTCACCATGCACGCACTGCATTGTGGGAAGACCATTTGCTTGGAAGAGGAAAAACGGGCCTCAAGCAGAAAGGTGCAAAGGAAGGTCCTGTCATGTGGCCTTGGTCTCTAGGCCTATGGATGAGAGAGCGGGCTGGTCCCACTCTCAGATGGGAGATCTTTGGGCTGTCCTTGCTGCTGCAACTGTCTTTCTAAGATGTGGGGTTTATTACTGAATATGGTTTGGCAAGGTAAAGCCCTAAGGGGTTCGAGCTCCACGTCTCACCCACCCTCGGAAACTGCGGTTTGACTGCGGATGCGTTTGACCCCACAGCCGCCGTGGATGAGCCTCTTCTTAGCGACTGCGTGTCTTCAGATCCCTCTGCATTATGACACTGGGTGAAGCTTCACTTCTTTGAGACGTGGATCTGGCAGCCAGGGAACTTGAACTTGGCTTTAAGCAGAACCTAGGCTACATGTTTCTTCTTGTTGCAGACGGACAGGCCGACCTGGCCAGTGTGAATCTTGGCCACAGTGCCCTGGGGCTTCCCTAAGGCCCCCTGCATACCTTACATACCTGCCACTGAGATCAGAGATGTGAACATCCGCCAGAAAACTGTCCTCAAGGTCCCTTAGAGCAATCTACACAGTTAACAGGCTGCACACACTCTCAAGGAGGCTGCTGCTTGTGGCCGTTGCACACCAGGTCCCTATGAGGAAAGGAAAATGACTGGCTTAATTGACTGAAGAATTTTTATTAATTCTGATGTCACAATTTCATTAGCCCTGCCTTCAAGCAGTTCATATTCTATTTGCTGAGATAGACTTGGAAAAGAACTATAACACACAAAGCAGATATGTTTTTGAAAAAATACTAAGTGGGTTTATAGGCTCAACACAATGTGAACACACGGGAGAGGGGGGCTGTCAGATAAAAGCAACCTGTGAAGGAAAGTTTTCCTCAGGTTGAGAGAGCCCAGGTCCACCACAGCCACAAACAAAGGAAGGGAAAGCAAAGCTTCAGCCGCAGAGGAAAGGAGACACCTATGACATCAGCAAACCTTTTCCCGCCCCACGCTGTGGTTCTTGACATCCACAGCCGCTGAGTTGAATCCCACCAGAACCCAGCGCTTTGCAAGACTGTGGATATGGTACCTTTGAGTCATGTCTCTTTCAATACAACAGCAATCAATAAAACTCCCCAGGAAAATGTGGTTAACCACAAGGACATCCCTCCCCACCCCCACCCCCATGTCAGCACTGTGATTCATTCAGCCCTGTGCTTCTAATATTATGTCACACTGGGAGGTACGTACCCTTCTTCAAGTAAAGAACAGAAGTCCTACTCTTTTCTGGCATCCGGCTTCTCTGCCTAGGACCCCTGGAAAGCTGAGACCTACTCAGTACTTGTGTGGGTGGCTCTGTCCAGGGAAACTCCTACTCGGATCTTGGATCTCGAATCTCTGGATAACAGGTTGGAAAAGATGCAGTCTGCAGTCTCCTGAAGGTGTCACTGAATTAGAAGCTGCTCTGGCCTCTTCCCACATCTTCATTAAAATAAGTGCTGAGCCTAGGCCTCCCCTGGTCACCATCTCTGTGTCGCTCATTAGAAACACATATGGTTTCACTATGTTTTCCTTACTTGTTAGGGGATAAATTCTGACTACCTGGAGAGGAATGGGTGATGCAAAATGAATCCTGCTTGTGCGTGTGCGTGTGCGTGTGTGTGTGTGTGTGTGTGTGCGTAGCTATTCTGACGTCTGTGCTGGAGAAGACCAGGATGAACGCAGGCTGGGCTACAATACCGTTTACACCTTTCTTTATGTACCTTTAGTTCATTTCAAGAAAAGCCCCATTGCACCTAAAGCCTTTCCTTAAAGAACTAGTTACCCTTTACCGAGAACCGGCTATGTTCCTTTTATTCACACTTGGTGTTTGCTCAGCAGTAACAGAGATACTTAGGAGATCTTCTGGTGGCCATCATTTTCTGAGACTTTGATTCATTTAATTCTGGCAATCATGGGATTTGTATTTTCTTCACTTCTCTTTCGAAGAAACCAGGACAGAGAGAGGCTAAACTACTTTTTCAGATGATTAAGTGGCAGGACCTTGACACCCACGCACGGAGGATACCACTGTCTCTCATTCTCATTAAGGGGAAGCTCAAGTCTAATTATGTCACCCAAGGCTCCAGTGCCATCAATGTATCAGATCATAAACCCTTGAGAGAAAATGACCTAGGTCTAACTATTTGAATAAAGAGATTCCTGTCTAGAAATAGATTCCTTTTGACCTAAAATTTCGAATCAAAGTGCATCGAATATGCTAGGGTCTCAAACTGAAAGGAGGCTGCCTTATGCAAAATTCTCGTTAGGAGACTTTTTTTTTTTAAATACTAAGTCCTCTGATTAGTGAGCAGTCCAATGTTTATAAAGCTGGAAGATTTTCAGTATCTTTATTTGAATTGCACAAAGTGGCCAAATGTAGTTTGGCCCCAGGCTGCAGTGTGTGTGTGTGTCTTGGTGCCAAGACCCTACTGAGCTCCGCCCGAGATGCCGAGCGTTCCAGCCCTGTTACCTTGTAAGAGTGATATTTAACAGATTTTTTTTTCCCCTGAGATGAGGAGCAGAGACTGAATAGCACAGGTGCTGGTTGGCCTGCTGGATGTGGGCTCCATAATCAGAGGCATATTTGGGTGGGGCATTACCTGGGAAAGTAAACAAAGGTTTGCCACAAACAATCCTTCGCAGGCAACTCAGGATACAGGAGGAGATAACAGAGGTGAACCACCTGGGGTGCTCATCACGTGCAGTACAGTGTTGAATATTTTGCTTTGATGCTTCTGTTTTATCCTCACCATCTCTAAGATAGACTCTGCTCAATCTTCCTCTCTTCATGGAGAAAGCGCATGGGAGTCACATACATGACCTACTGTTAACCCTGTGCTGTCCTAAGGTCCCTAGTTAATATGTTAGCACAGCTGGTATAGGGCCAGCAATGCTAATAACTAATGCATCCTGCAGAACCAAACAGGCCAAGGAACCCACCATGTCTTCCATTCTTTTCCCTTCTCTAACCATCTCATATACCCTAGGAGTCAGATGTCTTACATTCCTGGAAACTGAATCAAAGCTTCAGTCATTTGCTAAAGGCCACACTGGTGTGTGGTGGAGCCAGGGGTAGAATCCATGCGTGCTGAATCCCAAACCTTAAGTCTCTTTACATCTTCATTTGGTACCAATGACAAGATTACAGACAAACCCTGGAAGTCTGGGCCAGCTGGGCTCTCTATGACATCTGTTAGCATTCTGTCTAAACTCCGCCCCACAGTTACCTGGCAACAGCCAGGTAGGCCTGCCCACTATAAAAGGGGCTGCTTGTCCCCCTCCTCTCTCTCTTGGTCTCTTGTTTCCCTCTTGCTCTCTCTTGCCTTCTTGTTCCCACTCTCCTCTTGTCCCTTACCCCCTCTCTCCCCATTCCCTTACCCCTCTCTCTTCACGTGCTCATGGCCAGCCTCTATGAGTACTTCCCTACTCCCTCTCTCTCTGCCTTTTGCTACCTCTACTACCCTCTTGACTCCCCTCCCCATATTCTGAATAAACTCTATTCTATACTATACCTTCTTGTGCCTGGTCCCTCAGGGGGATGCCTTAATATGGGCCCTCTGAGACATCCCCTTTCCCCATACCTCATCACCCCTCCATAGAATATACGCCTTCTCTCTTTATCTTTTTATAAACACATCAACATCTCTGAGGGAGAGTAGGTTCGAGGGCAAGCAAGATTGTTCAGGGGGTAGATGCACATGGTGCCAAGCTTGCCCACCTGAGTTCTGTCCCCAGATCCACATGGGTGAAGGAAAGAGACAACAGCTACTACATGTCTGCCAACCTATATACATGTTCTGTGGCACACGTGGACATGTGCATGTGCACATTCTCACTCACAGATGTGCACACTTATGCACAATGTGCCCACAATATATATATATATATATATATTGTTCAAAATATATATATATATATATATATATAATTTAAAGGGGTTGTGGGATCTGAGGCAGTGTTTTAGAAATTTATATTGACCACTGTGTCTGTAAGAGCTTCCAAATGAGATCTTTTTGGTAGGTGTGTCTATTTGTATGTGTGCATTCGAGTGCATGTGTGTGTGCACATGTGTGTGTGTGTACATGCACGAGTGTGTACATGTGTGTGTGCATGAAAGCATGGGTGCATGTACATGGGAACATACACGTGCACAGGTGCATTTGAGACTAGAGCAGGGGAGAATTAGTTTCAGATTGAAGAAATCTCTAGGTGGCAGAGGTGTGCACATGCCTGGCCCCAGCTAACTCCCATCCCTTTCTTTACCTGATGACCTAAGGTTAAGGAGACACCCAGCAGGTTGGGTTGCCATTGTTACCCTTGATTCACCCACAGAAAGAGACCCACATTGACTTTGAAGTGCTTTTGTGAAAATGAAGCCTTCCTTCCTGCCAGGCAAGGTCCTCTCGAGTCCTCCACCCCCTGCAGTGCCAGGGCTGCAGTCCAAGAAGGCTGGAAACACAAACAGAAGGGCCTCGGTCCCCCAGAGCCCCTTGCAGGAGTCCTTTATTCAGCTACCAGTCCTTTCACCTCAGAAGGTTCTGCTTTGGTTGAATCTCACCCCAAAAGCAATATTTTTTAGCCAGAGGTGGAAAATTCTAGAAGCAAAGGTGTGAAGTGAAGCTTTTTGGTGAGTGGTGTTCATGGAAGAGCAGTCATCCCTAGCATGGACGAGATGTGCTCCAAGACACACATTTAGGCTCAGCAGGGCTGTATTCACAAAGGTCCTCGAGGGCCACTACTGACTTGATGGTGTTTCTAAGCAACCCCTGGGACTTCTTTAGTCAAGTTCTAAGCAACTTCTTTAGTAAAGCAGGGAGTCAGAGTTTTTCTTTGTGGAAAGTCAGGTTGTTTTCTCTGCCCGTCTCACAATGCCACTGTGTCCTGTGAATATTGGGATATGAGGACCAAACCCAAGGGCTGATTTTCCATAATTAGAAATGTTCAGGTAAAAGTGACTAGCTTGAAATGAAGCACTGCCCTTTGGGTAGAAAAGCTGGTTTTATGTGATCGAGGGACTCTGTTTGTTGTCCTGGGAGTTCTTTGACTACCTGGGTTTATTGTCTTGCTTGTTCCTTGACTATTTGCATTGATTGTATTGCTAGTTCTTCAACCTAGAACTGACCTTAATACTTGTATGTAATTTAAATAGTACAAAAACAAAAAAGGAGGAGGAAGGATGGGCAGGGGGAGGGGAATGGGGGTAACATTGGAAATGTAAATAAATAAAATATCAAATTAAAAAAAAAGAAAAGCTGATTTTGGGAGATGAGTTCTTAAAGCCATCAGTCAGTCCCTGTCCTAGCCTAAGGCTCAGGTCATCCTCAGGCACCACAGTGTTCTCTACTCTTCAGAGAGGGTCCCTTCGAAAACAGAGGTGTAAGGCACAGGCTGTGCTGTTTCTCTTTTATCTACTCATCTCAACTTTAGAAAACAGGCATCTATGACATGCTGAGGGGTTCCTTACCCAGTCCAACCCTACTGCATGAATAGGCCCAATTCTGGCAGATTCTGAAATCTCTGCTGGTCAGCATTTGCTGGAACAGGTGTTTTCCAATGACTCTGCTAATGGCCTAAAAGGCAAGACACAAAGCATGGATCTGCTCTCCTATTGCAATAGCAGACTGCATTAACGAGACAAGGAC